CCCCCCCCCCCCCCCCCCCACACACACATACAACGTAAACACCATTCATTCATTGAGTGCACAACAAGGCGGGCGAAAGGGGTGCACAAAATCTGACTCGCTCACACACTCAAAGACGAAAAGAAAAGAAGAGAGCCCCTGACTTTACCCGACCCGAGCGCTATGCTTTCACTCACGTACACACATATATGGATTGGATGGATGTGGCATGCTTGTGGGTGGCATGGAATGGCATGGAATACAGTGGGTGGCATGGTATGTATGGATGGCGGAAAACGTCCTGTGTGCACGGACCTCAAGGAGAAAAGGCAGGCAGGCAGGCAGGCAGGCAGAAAAGAGGAAGGGAGAAAGGAGGAAAGGAACGATAAGGCGCTGGGCACTCATTCACTGATGGGCAGGGAGCGGGCGAGCGGCAAAGGGAAAAAAAGGGATGCCGCCGCTAAACCTGCCACACACACGGACCTCGTTCGACACGCCACTCACTCACTAGGCACTCACTCATTCACTCATCAAGGAAGGAATCGGGCAACCAGTCAACGAAAAACCCTCTTTCTTCTCCTTCTCCTCCTCTCCACTCCACTGAGTGACTGCATCGAGATACGTGTTTATGTACAGCATCGATCGCTGCAGTGCTCTCTCTCTCTCTCTTGCCCTCATCTGTCGCATATCATCTATCGCATATCATCATTCCCCTCAGTCAGATTTGAAAGGCAGGCTAGGCTAGGCACAGGGCAGACACCAGGGCAGGTGGGTAATGGTTAGATCTGATCATGGAGCGACATACATATGCAATGGGGTCGGCCGCACTTCTCTCCGAGAGGGGCGCCCATCGCATAAAAATACACACATACACACAGTCGGGAGGGAGGGAGACATTGGGCAGGCGAGAGGGACGAAGGCAGACAGGCAGCAGAGAGGAGAGGAGAGGAGAGGGCCACCAGACAGAGCAGACGATGCGCAGCATCTCTTCTCCCATCCATCATCACACAAACACGTATGTTTGCATTATCGAATTGATAACCAGCCAGCCGGTCAGCCAGTCAGTATGTTATGTGCTCTCGCACACCCTTCCCACCACCTCCCACCCCCCCCCCACACACACACACACTTACACACCCTCAAGAGCGATAATACATACCCCGCCCACCCCTCCCCACACACACAAGGCGTCGCGTCCACCGACAGGCAGCGAAAGAAAAACAAAGTCGACTGGCTGCAGCGGACACACCGGTGTGCGGTGCTATACACACCACAACAGACAGACCACACAAGACAAGACAAGACAAGACAATCCCCCCACTGCGCCCCCCCTCCCCTCATCCAGCCGAGCTTTCCATCAATCAATCAATCGTCATGCTATCCATCCCATCCAGCCCTCCCACACAGAGATACGCACGGGGACTGTACACCAAGGAAGAAAGGGGGGACGCGACGCTTGGCAGGGGCCTCTGTCAGTCGAAAGGTCGAAAACACGCGCACCGTCGTCAAGTCATCACGACAGACACGGCCGCGCACCGCCATGAAAACGACCGATTGATAGATAGACAGACAGACAGATGGATGTGCCTTTAAATCTACACCGGGAGAAAAGATACACCCAAGACAGCCAGCCGACCTCCCCCTCTCATGCCCACCTCAACGTGGACTGCCTCCTGCCCCGCCTCTCCCCGCCAGACTCTCCCCTCCCTCTAAACCGCCTTCCACCACCCATCATCCCCCGCAGGCCCAGACCAACCAACCCGCCGCCCCTGCCGAGCGTCCGCAGCCCAACCAAAGCTGCCGTGCCCAATACTCGACCTGCCCCGCCCACCAGGGCCCCGCCGAGGCCCATCTGCCTCGGCCTCTCGTCTGATGGGGGGTAGATCCTCTTGGACATGGTAATCATGGGCGCGTCGCACTGAGATTTGACGCCGGCGATGCCGTCGGGGATGAGCCTGCAGCCCCTGATGACCTGCCCGGTCTCCTGGTAGCCGAGGGACGTCCAGAAATGGCGCAAAGGCATGTGATCGAGCTCCACCTGACACAGAGACAACATGCAACATGCTGACCCTGTGTGGGTGGTCAATTCCCCCTCCCCCTCTCTCCTTTGGTCTGGCTCTGGCTCACCTTGACAACGATCTCCCTGGCCCCCCACCACTGTGCCACGGCCTCGCACTGCCTGACGAGCTCGCGACCGATGCCTATCCTCTTCAATCTCGGCTCGACAGCCAGCTGGTGGATGAAGAGCCGCTCGGGGACGAAGGGAGGGGGGGTGACGAAGGCGGGCGAGTCGCCGGAACCATAGTCATCGTAGGTGGTGTCGTAGTCGTCAGGGCCGGCTGACCGATCCGATGACACTGATTGTGAGACGAGTGGCGGCGGCGCCTCCATAAGAGACGACACATTGGAGGTGGACAGCTCCACATAGCCAAGAAACTCGCCGCTGTCGACGTGCTGACCGAATGACATACACACAGCACACACAGGTTCGGTGGGATGTGATGTGATGCGTTCGTCTGTCCCTCCCTCCCTCTGCCTCTGTTGGTGGCTGTCTGGCGTCGTTTACGTACGTACCTCGGCCGAGAGCAGCAGGACCCTGTGTGTGTCTGTGGGGTGCTCCGTTCTCCTGTGCGCCGCCCTGAACCTCTCGTAGAGCTGGTTGGCCGTGTTCTGGCTGACAAAACCGGCCATAAACCCAGAAGTGTGCCCGCCCAGCGTCCGCACTGCCAGCGATGTGGCCTTCTTAAGCTCTCGACCATACATCGGCCTGAATGAATGAATGAAACACACAGACACATACATGCCACGCCACGCCACATGAGATGAGATGGAAACCGCACCCCAGTCTAGTCTCGCCGACTCACTCACTCACCTGACAGTCAGATAAGGCAGCGAGCCGTCCTCCTCTATACCAAAGTTGGCAGTGGAGGGCAGCTGAGGCGTCACGGCCAGCATCGCGGGTGTTAACCGAAATGCTGAAACCTGCCTGACGGTGCGGCCATTGAGACGGAAGCAGTCTGCCTGGTGCGTCAGGATGGAGTAGAGCAGGCAGACAAGAGCGACGGGCAGTATCATGTACGTATGTAGGGGGCGGGCAGGGGAGGGAGTGGGCGGCAAATGGGAGAGAAAGAAAGAGGGCCTCAGGCACCAAGAGGGAGGGAGGGAGGGAGGTCGGAAGCGGTAAGCAGGTCCAGTCGAGGTGAGTGACGTGGATGAAGAAAGGGCGGCAGACGTTGTGATCTAAGTGACTGTGTGGGAGCTTCACCTCTCCTATGCAGCGGACAAGCCCTTCGCGGGGAGGAGAGAGAGCAAAGATCCCCGGCCGCGTCTGCGAGCTTAGCTAACGTCGCATGTGGCTCGCGGAACAGAAGAGAGAAGTGGTCATTGCAGTTCATGGCTCACTTGCAAAACGGTTCGAGAAAGCCCCGGTCCGCCGCCGTCTCTGCAGCCAAGAAGACCAAGCCACAGGCCGGTCTGCACTCGGGTGAAAATGGCATCGCAAGAGACGAGAAGAGGGCGTGGATTGACATATACAACCATGCCAGATCCAGATGGACGGCCTCAGACAGGGAGGTCGATGTCACGGTAGGCCCCAAGTGGCAAGAAACACGGCAATGATCTGTTGTCTCTTACGTGTGTTTGGCTGTTTGGTCCAGGGCCTGGTGGGCAGCCTGAGGTCCCTTCGCCCAGCAAAGCCCTCACGAATGACTACGCATGACATCGTTGACCGAAACCTCAAGTATGAGCGTGGCAACAGGATGTCATTTCCTCTCCCTATCCGGCCGCAGTCAGCCGGCAGCAGGAGCAGAAGGCTCCATCCGCTGCTGGAGCTCGGTCGGCTGCAGGGCAACGTCCACTTATCGCAGCTCATGACTCGGACTCGGGCCGACTCGCAGACACTGGACTACTTCCGCAGACCAGAGGACCGCCTGGCTTTTTTCCACTCCCAGCCACCTGTTCAGACAGTCACACTGATAGACAAGGAGAGGCGCCTGGATGGCGCCAGGTTGCGGGAGAAGGGCGGCGAGAGGGCTGATAGGAAGAAGCGGGCGAGGAGGCGGCAGAGACGTGGGAGGAAGGGCGGGGTGCTGGAGATGATCGCATTCTATGAGTCGAAAGGGCGCGACTGGCGGGGGCTGCCGCTCGCATTCAACCAGAGAGAAGGTACTTACACCTAGACCACTTCACTCACTCAGTCGGCTGGAATGAGATCCGATCGATGCTATCTATATTCCCTTCTTCTCTACCTGCCTCCCTGCCTGCCGTATTCAGAGACGTATTGCGCCCCGAAGGACCGGTATTCCCTCCGTGACATTATCGAGTCGATGCCAATTCGCACGCCGACCATCCCTTCATCCACACGTCCCACCACCGCCCGAGGCCGCACCTCAACCTCACCCACCTCCCCTTTCCCATCACGGCCGACATCCCCCCGATACGCCGGCCGTCCCGTCTCTGCGCGGTCTGCCTGGGCATGCGACACGAGCACGTCAGTCGGGAGAGGCAGCTCTCACCCCGTGTCTCGTCCGCTGAGTGCCCAGCGGGGCGCACGGCATGATGCTATGGTGCCGCGTGTTGGGGCTGAGCGGGTGGTGGAGGACGAGAGGAGACACCAGGCCAGAGAAGAGTCAGGCCGGTCAGAGGCAGCGAGAGGGGAGGATGTGCAGGTGGTGTGTGTGGCTGATGAGGGTGAGACGGATGAGAGAGATGAGAGTGACTCGCTTGAGTCGTGGGGTCTGTACGAGTCGAAGAGGGATTTGGATACGTGTGAGAGGATGCTCGAGAGGAGGACCAACGTCAATGTGTATGGGCTCATGTTCAGCTGATGTGGGTGTGCACGTGTCAACGCTGCAAGAAAGATTGGCATGGGTTTCGAGAGCAACACATCTGTCCACTGAGTGAGTCCCCCCCTCACACCCCCATGTTTACGTGCAGGGACGCACGGCAATTCACAGTCAGTCTGGTATGTCACACATGGCAGAAAGACAGGCAGGCAGGCAGGCACACACAAATAGGTAGATGGACAGTCCCCCAACC